TCATATATTGAAAACACACCATCATATATAGAAGCAATGTCACCATATATTGGTCAAACGACACCATATATAAACGTTTTGTCATCATATATGAACACACACCATCATATATAGAAGCAATGTCACCATATATTGGTCAAACGACACCATATATAAACGTTTTGTCATCGTATATTGAAAACACACCATCATATATTGAAACAATGTCGCCATATATTGGTCAAACGTCACCATATATAAACGTTTTGTCATTTTATATTAAAAACACACCATCATATATAGAAGCAATGTCGCCATATATTGGTCAAACGACACCATATATAAACGTATTTTCATCATATATTAAAAGCAACTCGTTATATAATGCAGCAATGTCGCCATATACTTAGTGACAACCACATAAGACAGTGACGGCGTTCCATACAAAAGCATAATAGAATACCATATATATCTTGTTACTATCTTTCAGTCATTCTTTGATGGATATTGTTTTATGTAAATGTTGCTGCACTCAACATTGCTAGTAAATGTACAGCAATTGCTTTGAATGTTATTGAGGTTGTTTTGCTACAATAAAGACTGTTTTGATACACCAATAAACAACCAATAAACAGACAAAGAGGACATAAAGTATTAATATGAAGTAGAAATTAGGTTTATTTCAAAACTGTACCTGCAATGGAAATAAATTAATTACATTATATATATATATAATACAAGCATAGCATACACAACTGCAATTCCAATACATTTATTTCAATTGAACCAAATCATTGAATAGTTTAATACAGAAAATAAATAATAACTGACAAGATAAGTAAGATGATATACAGGGGTTTTTCTAGAAAAAAATTGCTAGAGGGAGCACTGCAATTCAGCGGAGCCACAAAGTGGGGGAGATGGGGTTCTCCCTACCAGGGTGTGGAGTTTTTGATAATTCTAAGTTAAAATGGAGCATTTTATGGCTTCCTTGGGGCAAAAATTACTATAAGACAGGTCACAGTTGAAGACAGTGGCCACATGTGATCCCTGGTCAACCCGCTGCACCCCTGTTCTTTGTTTAAAAAAATCCCTGATATAGTATGAGCATTATAATTTGGGAATGGTGAAAAAATAAAATTATTGGCTGCATCTTTAACAAATTTTCTAATACCATTTTATTACATTGTTCATAATTACTGAATGTATAAGATTCAAAATTAGGTAGCAATGTCGCAGTAGCTTTTTTTTTGTTAAAATACATCGTCACATGTCTGCACATAATATTCAGTGTCATTCTACAAGTTATCACACTTGTGACTACCAAATATACCCTGGTAAATTATAAATACCAGTCTTATAATGCAGGTCCTTTGTTATGTTAGGGGCAAGTTTAATTGTTTGGTTTTCAAATCATGGTTATGAAGAGCAGCTCAAACCTCCCCATAACTGATCTTGTTCTACAAATGTAATTAGGAACAAAGGGACTCACCTAAGGAACTCTTGCATAATTCATTGTAGGCCTGAAAAACAAAATTCTCTGTTTCTCGTTACATGGAAATTTTAAAATGCAAGGGGATTTATTTTTTTATTTTTTTTTTGAATACTGAGATAAAATGGGGAAAATTTGAGACAAGTGCGAGTACAAAACGAATTTTGTAATGCTTTAGAAAGAAGAAAAAAATGTCTGAGGCGCATAGTTCAAAATGATGCGCGCGGAGACAAGAAACAGAGATATTTGTTTTCTCAGCCTAATCTAGTGTATTCAATTCATATATATTATGCATGGTGTGGAGATCTGGGAGTAGATGTGTTGGAGCTAAAATAAAGTTAGTCATAAACTACACTATGTAGGGATTCTCTAGAAGATGGCACAGAGAGACATTGAGTCATCAATGCTATGATAACAACAAATATTATTCAACTCATCAGGTATAGCAGCATTTTTGTATATGAACAAGACAGAGCAAAAAAGCTAAAATTAAACTTCAATAAAGTCACCTGTCTACCACAGCTTAAAAATTACTTAGAAAAAGTAAAATTGTAATTTACAATGTAGTACAAACAATTCCAATTTAGGATTTGTTTTTAATGAAATGTAAATAGATCAGAAATCTTGATCAACTTGGCAGTGAGTACAACACACTGAGAAACATTCAGAAACAAAATCTAGTATTACAGGAGCTATTCAGCAAGTACAGAATTTGAAAGACATCAACAGCACAAATGAATTTAAAGTATCGTATTCTGGAGTTATCTAGCTGTTAAACAGAAAAATCCTATTGTTTACAACAGTTAATGTGAGATATGGTCATCATAGCACTTTTTGCAGACCAGGAGGGAATATCTAGATTTGTACCATAAAATAATATTCAAAATAAAAGCTTTAAATTCACCTCCAACAAACTCACATGATAATTTTAAACATGGAAAAATAAACTACGGTATACTAAGTCTATTACCTCGAAAAAGGTTATTGCTGGGATTATTTAATAAAAACAAAGCATCAAATGACTGTTACATCAAATATAACTGGTCAAAACTGAAAGGTCAAAAATCAAACAAATGAAATATTTCAAACCCTTACATACAAATACAATTAATTTAAAATTAAATAAGATAAATCAATATTCATAAAATCCCTTAAGATATTCATTAAGACCTGCTTTTAGTAAAAATTTCACAGCTTATAACATATTCAACCATCTGAAAAAATCTAAAAAAGGTACAAGTCACAACCTAGGGAATACAGAGCCTGATATATATTTATGTCACATCTACATACATAAAGAACAAATACTTTAATGATGTTGGCCTACTGCAATTTTTGTTTTACGAACACATGGCAACAGAGTTTAACTGCACGTATGGATGCTGCATCATGCAGGCACCGATTAAACATAACTGAGTGTTCGAAAAATGTTATGGGTCTGATATTTTTTTTATAATTGTGTTCAGGAATAAACACAACATCATGTTGCATCAGTGTTATGTTCTTTTCACCAGTGTACAGAAAAATGAGTGTAACCATACAGGCAAACACTGTGATTTGTTCGGCTTCTCACAACTTGAGTGTTTTCTTTATCATCATATTTCATCTGTAAAAATGGTTCATCGATAAAGAACCACAAGACTTTGGTTTGGTTATATCGCTTTTCAAAAACAAATTAGTCACTATGTGCTACAATACTCAGCAATTCAACAAATTTATTTCATTTAACACTGATATGACAACCCAGTTTCACGACACATTGTGTAATTACTAATACTTAGTCTTGTCTGAGCTCAAACTATTAGTTATTTAGCATCCTTCTACTTTCAGCTTGGTGTCTGAATTTGTAATTTAGTGCAACATTCAAGCTGTAAATGAGAAAAGTGTAACAAGTAGAGATTTTTAAAAATATTTCAATTTAAAACCCACTCACATGGTAGCAGGCAATTCAGAATTGCAATCAAATTCAAACAATAGTGTGGCCTTTTAACCCTTAATGGTGAAATTTGATAAATAACTACTGCTGATGCTGTCTGATATGAACAGTGCAATACATACAACACCAGAAGTGTTGTGTTGCTGTGCAATGACAGGGTTACAACATCATATTTGTGGCGGAACATTAAACTGCATCTGTTGATGGCATATAAAGAGTCACTGATGCTATGTGGTTATTCGGCATCACCTGTTAAAAAAAACATAACTTGTATGATTGTTCAATTTCTATAGAACACAAACTTGAAAAGTCAAGCATAAGCATAGTTCTATATCAACCATAAGGTTGTTGCTGTTGCAGCAGTCTTTTTTTAGAAGATTGCTATACTGATAGAAGGTACCAGTACAATGCATTTAAAAAGTATCCTGATACACCACTTCAAACTGGGTACTGGTTTTAACTGTGCGACAATAGTAGTAGCCAGACAGCATCTAATAACTTGATATTTATAAGTCCAATTGCATTGTACAGTGAATTTCATGATGGTATGAATGTTTGATATATAAAATATTTATAGATGTTTTATACATCTTAAATGACAGTTGAAAACAAGTTGACCAATCATAATGTTTTAATAGATGGATATCGTCTGTATATAATAGTGAAGTGGCCAATAATTGAGCGAAAGCCATACAAATTTATTTATATTTCCGAGGTAATGTTTCACAACTACCATTACAATTTTATTATCAACCACATCAAGAGTGACCTATTGAGTCAAAGGGGTCAAATTCGGCAGGTCATAAAGATGGCACCCTAGCTGAAGGCAAATATTTAGACTTTTGATTTTTTTTTCTTTTGTGGAAAGTTCAGTGAGAGCTCTCCATATGTACTCAATTACAACCCCCCCCCCCCGAATTTGAGGTTTTGAACTAATTTTTGAGTAGCAACATTGCAACACTAACTGCGGTTAGAAATAAGATTTTTATAGTATTTTAACTGTACTATCTGACACCAGCAAATGATCGAATCAACTTGTGAACAAAAATTAGGTAGTTAATCATAAAGCAATGCAAGTATGCCAGAAATAACAAAAATGATTACCTGATCCACAAATTGTGTTGTAAACTCTAATAATAAATAAATTGATGAAGACAATTGCCTGGTGAAAGTCTACACAAATAGCCATAATGAATAGAAAAAAAAAGACATTGCGTTTACCTCAATAATCATATGATTAACACCATAGCAGAATGTTGAACCAAATGGATTTGTAGAGTTAGTGGACGATGCTCTATTTAGTACAACTGGTTTATGAGATGGCGTCAGAAGTAACTCCTGTACTTGATCCCACTTGAAACAAAAACACAAATGAGTTATAAGCAGATAATGCAGTATCTATAAGGAGAGACATATTTGTATTCGGTGTAATATCAGCCATAGTTCCCCATTCAGCACTCTACTTTTCCAGACTATAGAAATGTGAATGTGATAAAATTATACATAATCCTACGATTATTTTGAATTATCATTTGGGTATTTTGTTAGTTCCACTTTGTTATCAACACCAGATTTTTGTATCAATCCAAGACATAGGACACATTGTATTTGAATATTGCATATACATATAGCTTTACTACTACAGTAAAGTCCTTGTTAAAGTCTACTATCAATTGACTTAATAAAAACATTAGGGAAATGAACAATTGCACAATAACATGCGAAAATGCAAATTTATGATGGTCACAGAATGTCAACATTATGTCAACTTGATTGTCAATATGTATTTATTTATATTTTACCTTGGTACAAAGTAATACTGGTTACCCACCAATAGCTTCACCATCCAAACATAAAAACATGTACTAAACAGATAGTGCATGATGTGAATTGGCAGCATAAAAACTGCAGCTTTATAACAACTATAGAACCAACAATGAAGCTCATGCACCAACATCAAAACACACTATCAGCTCACCTTGGTGAAAGATGTTAACACCAATGGTTCATCAGCCTCCATTGCTTTTGAGCCTTTTATTACTGGAATAGGGATGCGACAGTCACATCGGTAATACCTGTAAGTTCAACAGAATGCTATGTATCAGTATTGCATTAAGGTAGGTAAAACGTCTTAGAAATTGATGTGATTCAGACGTTCTCCAAAAGTTACTAAGTAGGCTACTCTTAAATTTTATATATCATCTGAAAGATTAGATATAGGCGGAATACAGTAGTCCATATGCTGTACCAAATGTTTGTCTGAGGGATTACCTGACAGTCAGTTTTGTGCTTTTTTTATTATTAACTATTTTTAACATTTTCAGTCACACCTGTGAATTGCATTGATAATGCTGTAGGCTAAATGATAGTGTCTCAGTTGTTTATCTGCCTTATACCTAGCTATGACCAAATAACTACAGACATGTTATCAGATTATTGGTTGTATGCAGTAGATTGAGAACAACTACCGGATTCTGCCGTAAATTTGCCCATCAAAAAAAATCGCCCGCGATTCCACGACTGGTGGGCCCTTATTTGAGGTCAAAATTTCAAAAGATGATCATCAAATATTTTTTAGAACTTCTATTTTCTTTGAAAAATAGACCTATGTTGACATTCAGTGTCGGCAGTTTGTCCACTCAAGACGAAAGAAATTATAGCAGAAGCTAATCTGAAATTTGATACATTTTTTTCTTGCTGAATTAAAAAGTAGATCGCCTAAAATGTCATTACAATGTCACCCAGTGTCATCTTTCTCTAAAAAAATCACATTAACGAACCTGGTACGCCAAATACAATTATTTTATTTTATTAGTATTGTAAGAGTAAATTCTAAAAGATGTTTCAAATAAAAACGAACATAACTGCACTGCTTTTTAGCAAATGATTGCAGTAGCGCAATCTGGTCATGCTGTGTTTCACAATTGTTGATCATTACTTAGTACGGTAGTAATTATAATAACGTACAAAAAATAATTTTGTTGAATGATTCCGATCGCAGATTAAACGCTTGATGCTGCAGAATATCCGCCATATTTTGACCTGGGACAGTGTTCTTTGACCTGATAGGTCAAATCGCTAATTAACCAATCAAAATGATGGATGATACCAACGTGTTCAAATTACCATAGCTCATTTAAATATGTTATTGTTATTGAACACAACACGGAAGAATGACACCAAAATATTGAGAAAAACAAAAAACCTTAAAAACTGCCGAAGAAACGCCCTTGGTCTCATTTTATGGCAGAATCCGGTAATAAAGACATATGGTCAGTTTACACGACCAGATTTTATTTGTAAAATGACATTGGATTTATCTGATCAGAAACACTCTGATTGTATAAACTGCAAAACTATATTCCTATATGTCCTATATTTAAAGTACACTCACATGTTAAAGTTATAATGTCCAGGATAATTGGTATGTAGGATAAACTTCTTTAATTTGTGCGTCCCAGCATCAAAGAGAATATCCTATATGTAAGAAAATTGGAATGTAACTGGGAATACAGAGGAAGAATGGGAATGATGACAGACAGTGTATGGATATGTTATGTTGCAACTGTGGCAAAATTTACTAGTACCGTAGTAAAAAATTAATGAAGGCTTATTCAGATAGAATTCTTTGACGAATATGACATATGATTGTAATGTTTGTTCACCATCAAATCACCACATGTTGCTTATGTGAGGAGCTAGAAATAAATTACTAATCATTGTAGTGTGTTGGTTGTTGCACTGTCCTCAAGTTTGGGGCATGTACAGTTAAAATCTTACACGGAACAGAACACCAATAAAAGTTTGTACTACAGGCACACAGGCACACAAAGCTGTTTCTAGATGCAACTTTAGGGGTACTTTGGTCAAAAAGTGCAGGTGCTTGGTTGTTTCTAGGAAGGTATAGTATTGCCATGACAGGAAGATATACAGCAATGATGGCGTGTAGTCCCAGCTACAGTAGGCCTTGTGGTTGTTTTGGCAAACTACTGCATGTTTGTTTGTTGTATAGTCCAATTATAAGGACTTATCTGGGATATAAAGTTTGACCTGAGATAAAATGTTAGACCATAGGCTTATCGTGTGGAGAACAATATCAGAACAATATCAAATTGATTAACAAACAGTATGTTTGCACTTTGCATATAAAACAAGCAGCCTGTCGGCTGAGATAGCTCCGCTGTTCGCAATGCACATGGCAATTAAATAACAGAAGATATCATTAGAAAATGAGCAAATCTGAGAGAGGTCCACATGTAGTACATATATATATATATATATGCGG